ATTGAAGTTGGAAAGATAATTTTAATGGAATTTATTAGTATTGGACTATGATTAGTATCAATACATATAGATCAAATATTTCTATACAAGTAAATTAGTTGGATTAATGTCCATTAAAAAAATATATATATATATATATATATATATATATATATATATATCTTCTTGTCTTTATTGCATTAATAAGTAAATTTATAATAAACAATACTTCAAGTTTTTATAAGACAAAAAATAGGCAAACGACTATTAAGAGTGATATGACGCAATTATTGGCACTCATTCTAAATATTACAAGTAATTATACAACTTTTAGAATCTCTTTTATATTATATAGTTACTACATTTTTTGGTAGCACTTTGGCAATAAGAATCTCAGTAGTCATCTCTTTCTCTGCTAGTTAAAATTGTTAAGCAATAAAACAACCTATAAGTGATATAGAAGATCTATAATTATATTGATTATTTGATATTGTCAAGTGCTAGTGTATACTACCCTGCAAACAATATGCATGCCATTTAAATAGACACTCAATCAATTAACTTATTATATTTCATTGACAAATGAAGTTGTTTTACTCACAATAAATTTATCTCTTATTACATTTGAAATCTATACAATGCTTTTCAAAGTATGCTTTTCAATGCTTTGCAAATTACATATTTTAAAATATATGCAATCCTATCTATATTTTATTTCATGTCTTTAAAATATTGAAGATATCTCTCTTATGGAGAAGACATGTGTACCATGTTTTTTATTTTAAAATGTAAATAACCTTAGAATAGACATTTTCTTCTCTCTCTTCTTAAATACTAAGCACAATGTCAAAAAAATTATAAGATTATAGTGTAAGTTGAAAAAAAAGATAGTTGAATATATAAGAAATTATAGACTTGACAAGGTTGATCAAAGGAAAGAAATGCTTTATTATAGCTATTGATAGTTAACTATTGTTATTGATGATACCTGGATAATTGTACAAATTTCATTTTTTTTAAAACTATGATTGTATATATCCAAATGTAATTAATGGTTATAATAATGAAAACGAATTCAACAATCTATATGCCAATTTTTAATGATAGGTAGATTGATTTAATAAAAAATTAGATTAATTTATTATTCTCTTAATTTTAATAATTCTAATCTTTTCATACAAGAACATTGTAGATTATAATTTATAAAATTTACATCTATATTTTTTAATTAATTTTTAATTAACTTATTAAATTTACAAATACATAAAAATATTTTTAATCCTTGTTTATATTTTTTAATCATTCACATTGTGAACTAAAATAAACCTGTATTAATTGGAAGTTTATTCTAATTCACAATAAGTGAATTGACTATGTGGAATTTTAGAAGTTATAGTTATTAATTAAATCCCAATCAACTCATTCTTAAATCATTTTTAAACACCCAGATTATTAAACAAAAACCTCTACAATTAATTCACACTTACAATAGTAATCTATTCACAACATACATGCCTCAAGGAACTATTTCTCTTAATTCTTAATTTAATTATTTAATTTGTATATTTTATTTTATATTTATCTATTTGTTTATTATTTATAATTTATTTTGAATTAATATTCATCCATCAACAAAAATTCATCCTTGAATGAATATTGATCCAAATATAATAATTCATCTAAATATGAGAATATCTACTTAAATTTCATCCAATTTAATTATTCATTCACTTCAATTTTCATTCAATTAACCTAATTCAATTCCAATCCTAATCCATTTGTCTAACTAATCATCTAATCCGGAAAGCTCTTACTGAGAGGAGGGTGATGCGACCTGCAACTTGCTTTTCCGCTCCACGCAAAGACTGCTGTAACCCTCAAGATTTTCTCTTCCTCAACGACTGTTGATCTCGGCTGGGCTCCCCACACTCCACTCTCAAACCGCAATAAGGCCACTGCTGATTTCTTTTTTTGACATTGTTAAGTTGCCTAATTGCTTGGTTCTTGCTTCAATCCGCAGTATACAAAAATGGTGGAAAACCTAGAGAGGCACTCCTAGAGTTCTACCCTCAAGTCGCGGAACTCGCCATGCAATAAGTCCTTCATGCAATCTTCCGTTGATGCTAAGAAAAAATCCATGTAACAATTCTACAACCTAGGCTAAGAACTCGCTAGTCAATGTTATCCAACTCAGATTAACTACCTTCTTAGGCATTCAGCCTAATGCTGCAAGATCAGATGTTTTCTACTAACTCAATTGATCAATCGGAATTGGATGTCTACACCTCGTGAATCACCTTTGCAGGAATAAGTCCAGATGCGTGTTGATCAATTTAGCGACTTGTAAATAGCAACCAACAGACAAAATCGCTGCCCAAGAACTCTAATTGGAACTGTGGACGTGTAATGCTTAATCGGAGATAATCTTCCATTTCTACTAAGGGAAGGAGGTAGCAGGAATGCAGACTGTCCAAGTTGTCACCGCCAACTCGACGATCATATAGCAAGCAGAGATGGCCTCTCTAATCTCCTGATTTTGAGTCTCAACCCTTCCTACATATGAGAACACTAAACGATGCAAAGTAGAAGATCCACCACCGACCTACCGTGATATTGATCCTCTTCGCAGTTGACGACCGCTGCCGCCCTAGTTTGATTCTAATGCCACCCACAATGTGGTTCCGAGCTTTACTTCAATTGCTAGAAGGAAAAAACAAAAATGGCGCTAAAGAGCACCGCAGCAACTAGCCTCACAACTGACTCCCTCGACTTCTAATGTGAAATTGAGCCATTACAACGTCGCTACCCCACTTGACGGCGCTGTATTCAAGAACAACTATGCAAAAAAGTAGAACCAGAAAATGGCAAGAAACAACAAGTGCCATTCGTATCCAACAGAGAAGAAGATTACGTGAGTTGTGGCATGCCACTGCAATAACAAAAAACAAGAGGTAGAATTCTCACGTCCACCTTAATGCAACCAACAGAGAAACAAAACAACTCAAGATTACTGCTTGTCAAAGGATCCGACTAACAACAATTGATAGCAAGGGGTCTCACCAATGGAACCCATGATTTGTCGGACATCATTGATAGCAGCTTCCTAGTGCTGTCAAGCCCTCTTGCGCAACTGATCAACCGCACTTCAGCAGCACCCTAGTAATTGTGAAGCTCTCATTGATAACGCAATCAATTGCCGTTAGAGCCAGTACTAGTGAGTGGCAATACTGCAACCAAAATGGTAGCCGGATAAAGAAAAAATAAAGCTCACATAACTCAAACCGGGCCATTTACGTCCGCCTCAAGGACACCAAAATGGAAGCCCAATGCACGTTGATGTTCCTCCAAACTCGCACCAGCACCGCCAAAAGCAGACTTTCAGATCCTTTTGTGCAAGACCAATGGCCTTTGGCGCTGCACAATGCTCGGCCCACCGAGCCACTCACAACCACACAAGAGCGGGAGAAAGTCTTTAGCCGCAACTCCCTCGCACATTCAACAAAACAATCCAGAGAACGCAATTCAAAGAAAAAAGAACCCCGATCGGTAGAACCCCTAGTTTAAAAACACACAAGAACACAAGATGTGGCTCCTCAAATACCCAGCTGCCGATCAGTGGACGACGACGTCCTCCCCTCAGCACCGCTCCAAATACTCACATTGATGTAGAAAAAAAACTTCCAAGAGGGATTCTGTTGCCGTTTGGGCCCAGAGTACTTTGAAAGAAAAAATCAAAAACTGGAGGGGGGATCCGGGGTGGCCTAGACCCCTAGACCCCTCTCCATGAAGAAGTTGCCGCCATTCAAGGGCAGCTTTCGCCTTTTCGATCATCTTTCATTTCTTTATATATTTTTCTTTTTTTCTTTTGTCCTTCTTTTCTTCTTCTCCTATTACTTCTTTCTCCTTCTTCTCTTCTCGTCTCTATTCTTCTTCCTACTCCTTTGATCTTTTTATTTTTTAATGACATATATATATATATATATATATATATAGATATAATAAGAACTCTAATAAAATAGAATTTTCCTTTTTCCTTTTGATAATGAGGGCTACTCCCATCAGGCCATCATCTAAATAATAATCATCAGGAATAAAATTTAGCTTATTATAAAGTACCAAAAGTATCATAAAAATAAAAGAAATAATTATACATTTTTTACCAATCAAGGAGTAAAAATAAACTCATGTGTCAAAAGATAGTTAAATTGGAAGCTACTAAATATATACATGTGTATATTATCTGCCAGACATCATAAATTTTAGATATGTTTCACAAAACTAAATTCTGAAGTGGAATTTATTCCATTTTTTAATGCATTTTCATAATGTACAAGTATGTATTAATTTATTTATTTATCCATTTTTCAAAATTGATATTAAATCTCTGTCTATGTGATTTTATGTATTTCTTCATTACTTAAATTAATTCTATTTATATGATATTTTATTATGAGGTGTTTAGTCGATGAGGATTATAATACAATAATCAAAATTACATGAAAATCCAGAAAACTAGGCAAATCGAGCCTTAAGGTTTTGGGTTTAGTATGTGAACCATGAGTAAAAAGTATGAAATAAAAGATGGTCTTGCTAAGAGGCTCTCGAAAGGTAAGGTTAAGTTTCACTACAATCATGTCAAGCTGTACCCTTTTCAACACTCACATGCTGCACCAATCAAACGCCGACAATGGTGTAGGGATAGCTCTGCTCAAACATCAAACTGCAGTTTTTAGGTGAGATCTCTAGAATGACGATCGACAAGCAACAGTGAAATAACTCCAAACATAGCAGGCAGATAAACAGGTATGAGCAGGAAATACGCAATCACAGCAGCTCGCATAGCATGATCCTTCCTGCTGGGTACATGCTAAAGAAGCACCAAAACCTTGTCCACAACACACGGTCATAAAAAGAGGAGTAGCTGAAGACGTCCTGAACTTCCAATCAGTGTTACCACAATACACTTTAGAATTACGCCTCCAGTAGAAGTCCCAGCTAAGATGCCATGCTCGGGACATTTAACATAAGTATAATCACTAGCAAAGTAAATTATAGAGTGAAATTACTTACAAAATCGTATCCGAGCTTTCATTCTCTACCATTGACAAAGAATAGCTCCACCCTCTATTACGAGAGTCCAGCAAACCCGTCTTACAAATAAAGACCTATTTTCTGTGACATTGTGCCTCTTAAAATTAGGAGGGACCTTTCCTCAACCTGCGCATGTTTTCTTGGCAAATGAGTTTAATGTTTACAAAGAAACATGAAATGCGCAAATGCTTCACCTCTATGACGCTGCAACGCGCTAGTTTAAGTAGTTTGCAGCGTATAGTGAGGAGCATTACTCTACAAAAAGATTCAAGAGTAGCTTTACACAAGTTAGATCTGAATCGGGTATCTCCAGAAATTAGATACTTCAACATTTTCACTAATAATACACGAGACAAAAATACTATGGCTACAACGGCATCAAGCGTTTTTGCTTGAAGAACCATAAAAATGCTATGAAAACTAGGGCGCCACCAAGCCCAGAAATAATTAAAACCCACTTGAAGGCCTCAGGCTCGTCAAACAAAGCCATTGGAATATTCATTCCAAACACGCCTGCCACCACACTGTAGATGGCCAAGACAAATGTTGCCGTTGTAAGCAAAAGCTCAAATTGAATCAGCTGATTCCGCACATTGTCCTGTTCAAATATTTCCCATCGCCCACAAAATTAGCGATGATGAGTAACATGTATGTTCTACGTCCAGAACCTATACGAAGTCGATTGTAAGATGGAGATTGGACAGAATATGCTACATCAGACAACTGATTCTGATTTGATCTAGCTGAGAACTATCAATAAGACATAGATGACAAGATAAATTAGTATCAAAAGCTTCGCATTTGTTAAATTCATCTCGCTTGGCTCATTGAACCAACTAAACTGTACAGAAAAACGACAGAAAAAGCTAGTAAAACTAATTTAAGTTCGTACCATATTCCTGTCTTAATAACTCAAAGCAAAGGATCTAGTAAAGTAGAAATCACGTCCCTTGAAATTAAAGTTGGTCAAATCTCAACTGAAACTATCAACCCTCTTGTACGCGAAGTGAACTTACCAGCTGTATGTTAATAAAGTCCTCCGTGTCATCTATGTACTCCTTCAACTGCATGTATGCAACTCGTAAACGTCATTCTATATGTTTGTGATCTAAATAGAAGCTCTCTCTAAGCTCTGATTACAATAAAAGAATGCTGAAAGTCCACCAACAGTCTAATCAGAAGTTAATGAGAGAGACGCTAATAACATAGAAAGGAAAGATAGTTACCGAAGTTAACTTGTTAAGAGTTCCATCTATGACAACAAAGTATGCTTCCAAAAGCATCTCCAGCTCCTCCACTTCAGTTGTTCTTGAACTAGTCATACTATCCTGCCTCGACTTTTGACTAAAGCTCTTCTCTAGTCGTCTGTCCATGTAGGACTGATGTGTCGATCCAACTGGTGAACCAACAGGAGAAACAGGAGCCGACATTGAACACCCTGGTCCAATATTGCTCAAATGAGATCCAGATTTTTGATCAAAAAAAGAAAAGTCGGCCTGCTGCTCCTTCTTCTCCGTTAAATACATCTCTGCCATATCGCTGTCATCATCCATTAGTTGTTCGATTTCATCTCGCACCTGGACATGCATGCAGGTAATTCAGGAATAATCCGCGCTTGTAAATGTCCAATTTGATACGCGAAAGCTGCTTCTGCACATCGCAACATCCACAGCTTGACAAATGCTAATACTGACACTTGAAATAGAAACTATCAAGACTTACCTTTTGTACACGTCTTGTTAGAGCTACAAGACGACTCTTTAACCGACGAACATGCTCAAGATTAAGTGTGCTGATCCTGGTAGTTAATTCGTCAAGAACTGGATAGACCTCTTCCTCCAAATCTGCGGCCTGCATTCATATGAATGGAATACAAGTTAGCAAATGTGAGTTAGATAATACAGTAAACTTCGAAATACAGAGCCAAAAGTCGCTAGAATTGAAGCGGTTACACAGCTTATAGAAATAGTTGAGCCGGTTAGTACCTAAATGTCGACCGTTACTGACCCACTGATACAAGAAAAAATCTAAACACAATAGTGGTTGCGAACTATGTAACTTGCACAGAGAATGGGTTTGAAAGTGTTTGTGCGGACACAAAAGGATTCGACAAAGTTTCACCGTAGATCACTGAAAGAACTCTCATGTACGTGATCAGACAAAATCTAACAAATATTAAGACTAAACAAGTACCAAGGTGACTAAGAATGCTAGTGCACCAGTACTACTGGCATAACTGAAAATGTTCAACAAATATATCAGGGAACTGTCATGAGGAGAACACTCCAACAACTACAAGAATGCCCCACATCAATTTGAAGCAGGTGGCGAGAACGAATTGCATTGCGCAGTACAAGTGGACTCCAGATTCTGCAGTATCATGATATTGAGATTAATTTGTGATTACTGCCTTCATCTCCGGAAAAAAAGGGTAAAAAGTTGATGTAAATTTAAAACTAACATTGAAGTTTAGTGAATTGAAAAAGGAACGAGAATAACAGCCTCCCTCATTGGCCAAGTTCTAGCTATGTCGGCAGCTATTAACAGAAGAATTCCTACCATCACTCGCAGGCTAATCAATCCAGGTAAACCAAATACAGCTGCAGGTATAAAATAGGATCCATTCCAAGTGGAAAAGTTAGTGAGTCTTCCCAACGAACTACACAGGACTGATATTGAACTACAACCTGTAGAATTAGATTGGTAGCGCAACCACAATACACACATGCATGGAATACACCAGGTGCGTTACGTGTATGCTTGAGCCGCATTTCAAACAAGATTGTCAAGATAAACTGAATATTGAGACACAGCAAACTGAAGTCAACTATGATGGAGGCTAATTGATGTTGCTGGAGACGTAGGCCTCGAAATGCAGACATTGTGGGTGATCGAGGAGGTCTAGCGCACCTGCGTATCCAAATACGTGCAGGCAGCCTCAAGACCGACTTCAAGCGCCCGAAATTCGAAGGGTAGATCATCAGCGGAAGAGCCACTAAACATATCCCCGTCATGCAGCGTATGTTTCCGCTCATCGAGACTCATGAGCTGCGACTCAAAGTCGTTGCCATTCCCAGCGACCGAGGAATCAGCAGGGGAAGGCCTCCACTTGAAGCTGGCAATATCAGACTGTTTCTTCATTAACAGCCGTCTCTGCAGCTCGTTCACATACTGTAGCACGTAATTATCAATAGAATTAAGCAGAAGCACTTCGTCAGCAGTGATGATGCATCGAATCTGTTCCAAGTTGACCACGATGGCACGCTCACGCCCAAGGATTGTACTCGGGTACACAAAAAGCGGATCGAGAAGACGCAAGTCTCGTGCAGGAAGATCACAGCGTCGCATTAGCGAGGCCTTGTCTACTTCTAAAATTTGAGTATTTCCTGAAGGATCAATTCGGATCCAGGACCGCACTCCATGGCCGCGCTTCTTCACCGGTGCCCCTTCCATGCCTTGGAACAGCGACCGCTTTAACATATCCGACTTCTTAGAAATGGACTCCGACGGGCCAGCTGCACCTGGCGGCCGGGGCGGCAACAGCCTAGTTTTGAGATCTGCCATTCTGATATTTAGTAAAAATTATCTCCCGCAATCGAACACCCTAAGCCAAGTTCATTGAAAGACAGAGCAACCTCTACGCTCCACTCCGCAACCTCAACATCCCTCCCAGATTCAACTGCCTCGAAAGAACTGCGGCGGATGACTCTACCAAAACCCAACACCGCAACGAATCCTCCCTTAAATTTCAGCACCGAGCACACCGGATCTTGAGCAACCACAAAATCTAAAGAACGAATATTCACCCCCGATTCTCACGCAAGACTAAAATCACAGCCCAAGAACTGCACGAGCTCCCGCCGCGCCTCTCTCCTCCGCCGCCTCTCGTCACCACAGTCCCAATGCACAATTCCGAAGATACCTCACACCCTAAGGGATCGACTTCAGCAACACCTTCCGCCTCTCCACATCCTTAGTGTCCAAATTACGCTTTGCACAAGAGCCACAATTCATCGATAAAGCTACACGATTTCTGCAACCGGGAGCTACGCCTCGACACGACGGTCGAAAATCACCATCGGCAGGAGCCATGGCCGCACCACCGCGCCAACGCTCCGATCGCCATGCAGATTTCCGCTGCGTGATTTCGCCCCTCGCCTTGAATCCCACCGCACTCTTCCCCAAATCCGCTGCCTCCCATTCTCCACCAAAACCCAAACCCCCTGCGACGCAAACCAACAGCACCGATGCAACCCTAATTGAATGCACGCGCAAGGCCCAAGGTTCAACACAAGAGCTCCACGACTTGGTTGTTTCCGAGGAGAGCACCGAGGCAAGAGCCGAGTGAATACGAGGTCCGAGAGAGGGAAGGGCGGAGTACGAGGAGACGGAGGACGAGGACCAGGGACACACGCAGTTCCTATGCCAAGCCAAGCCTAGCCAAGTGCTGCTGCTGCTGCTGTACCCCCTGTGGCCATAGGGACCCGACGACGTGACCGACCGACCGACCTCCGACCCCCCCCCCGTCCTTTTAGAAATATACAAAAACATATCTCCCCTCTGGATTCCCTTAGGATTCTATCGATGACCCCCCCCTCCTCCCTTTGACATTGCAAGGGTGGGTGGGTGTTCATGGATAGATGATAAATTGGGATGAATGATTGGGACCGGGACGGAGGGTGGATTTTGCATTCGTTGCACGGTGAAGGAATTCAATGTCGATCATGGGTACTCTTTCTTCGCTCATTTGTTTCTCCAGACGTGAGGAGTCGAATTGATTCGTCATCCTTGCGGCAGAGTGAGAGTTTCATTCATCTCTTAAAATTAAAGGTAATGTATCGTTTTAAGGTACCTGATAATGTCATGTGTGATCAATACTAACGTGAATGGACAAACACGTGTGCATTTGTATAGTTGATAAAAACCCAAGTTGGTTGATGCGCGACATTTGTATTTGATTTTAATGATCTTTTGGATTTTTACTAAGTATTTTCTTTACAGTATTTGTGCATTACTTTACTACGAATTGTTACAAACAAAAATATCCTAATCCTATGTGAAATTGTTTTTTATTTTTATTTTTATTTGCAAACGACATGCATGTTGTCACCCACGAGGTCCGAAATGAATGAAAATTGTTTTATAATAAAGATGGCGCACCTTGTAAATAGAAAATGTAAGTAGGAATGTTATTGAAACAGATATCCTCTATATTGTTACACTATTTTGAAAACAATTATATGACTAACTTTCGAATACATAATTATTTTTAATTCAGCATTATCTTATCTTCAACTTTAGTTAATAAATAAATTTTTGATTATATTCTCACAATCCAACATAATTTTTTTTATATAGTTTGCAAATCAATTGATTTAAATTAAAGTATAAATAATGCATTTTAAAAACAGAATTGTAATCTTGTTTTAACTTGATTATTAATTTATTTGTCTAATAAAAGGCAATATTTAAAAGGAAATTACCAATAAAGAAGTAAATAAGGGACATATGTAAGCTCTCTTATTTTATTATACGAAATTGTATGATTATTTTAATTTACATTACCTATTGTTTTAACTTTGATTTAAAGTAATTATTTTTCAACAAATAAAATAAGATTTGTAAAAATTTAAAGTATTCGTATAAACTTTATTTAAACTTGAAAGCTAATTGAATTTATATCCAAGTAGAAAACAAACCCTGTTCAACAAATATTTAATATACTAAATCAATGAATCGGTCAATCGATGTTCTAAGTTTTCTAGGAAAGATTTAAAGCATCTTGATATAAATAATTTTATGTGACTTTTTTTGTAGCACATGAATGTGAATAAATTACACAACTACATTAATATCTTTGATGTTGTGTTTTTGTTATTTACTTGTTTTTCTTTTTTTGAATTTACAATACAAATAGAAGGTATTGACTAGCATATGCTACCCATTTTTTATCAGGATATATTTTCATTTAATACATCTAGAATTTTCATTTTAATAAGTATTAGATTATATTTGTGTGTGTGTGAATATATATATATATATATATATATATATATAGTCATATAGTCATATAGTCATATTAGAATTAGTTGCATTTTTATTTGTATGATTAGTCTACAAATTTTATTGATTACATGTATACAAATCATGCAAAGTGAATTACTGCAGTAAAATATTAAATCAATAATTCATCTTTAAAGGAACAATTTATTCCTTCAGCAAGTTTCATTAGTTTTCCTTGTAACATTTTTAAACTGTTCATGCATCTTCATATGTTAAATCCTGACAACTAAATGCATCAATTAATTAAACCATGAAATGAGATCGACTATTTTCCTCTTCTTTTTCTGCATGTGCAAGTAAAGTGAATATATTATCCACACTCTTAAATTATTCATAAATATGGGTCCTCAAATACACGTCCAAAGATTTGAGACCTCCTAAAAATATCAATTTCATAAAGGAAGACCAAATACTGCAAACAACAGTCTTGCTTCATCAGACAACTTCAATGAGTAGGTAGAGTTTTTTCATGGCCATGGATGCTTGCACAGTGTTAAAAGGACTTAAACCACCCAGATCTTATCATACACTAAAAATGAAAATATAAACTAACAAACAAACACGAATTGAGTGATTTCTAAAAGTCATTTCTTGGCATAGCAAAGTGCAAGAGGAAAGCTCACTCACTGCATATGAGACTACGTACAAGATTTGGCATTCACTAGATTATCTATTCACTAGACTGAAGTCATTTCTCCTACTGGACTACAATAGATAAGTGTACATACTCAGATGATTACTAGTTTGGGGAACCAAAAATCCTATTAGTTGCCCATTTAGAAAGGCACATGCAAACTAATTAAAACGGCTGGAAGAAGAATTGGCACGCTGGCAGTCATGTCTCCAACATGGTGGTGGTTAGGAGTATTCATGGTCCCACATTACCATCTAAATGTAGAAAGCGTGGAAACCATACGTGTTCCCCTCTTGACCACTGAAGGGCTAAATTTGGAAGCTCCTCTACATGTGGAGGAGGCTCGTTCTTAGCCTCACTTGTTGGAAACGGTGGTAGGTAAGAGTGCTCCTTTTCGCACGGTGTCTCGTGGGGTACCCATGGCCGAGGTTCATGCATCAGTCACGGATGGATGTACACATGGTTGAATGACGACGTGCATCCATAACGTAGCTCCATCAAAAGCTCGGTGACTTTCTCGTCTACTTGCCACGCCAACACAAAGGATGGGGACTGGAAATAGGATGTTTGTGATTGTATTAAATATTTTCTAGGGTTTGAAACTGGCCCACCCACACAAGGGCCTGACATCAGATTCATATGTTGTTTTGTAACTTTACTGCTAGTGCGGTGTTCTTCCCACAATGAATACGAGGCTTATTTGTTTCCATTCTCAAGATGGGTAGAAAATGTGTCGACTTTGATATTTGCACCTATTGCATTGTATGGTGGTTGAGTTCAGAAGTGGATGAAGAGGAACATAGTGGCCGGGAAACTATTGACATTGTATTTGGAGTTGGGATTTTTTTAACCAGCGGTTTCAAATGGAACTTGTGTGTTGTAGTTTGAATGACTTGTAGTAGACCTTTTGCTAAGTGAACCAATTGTTTTTTTTGTTTTGTTTTTGTTTGTTTGTTTGTTTGTTTTTTTTTTTTTGTATACTTTCTTTTTCTCTTGTTGAATTATGTAGCCTTGAGAAGTTTATGATGTCACAATTCATATATTCTAAGTATTTTGAAGTGGCTTCTTAAATTTTGAATATAAATTAGAGATCATATATTTTTTCATAAATGATTGACATTGGCATGCTATGTGTCTGTAAATGACTATGTATATTTATGTTCACACCAGAATAAAATGCATTCAAGGATCAATTTTCAGAAAATCAATACACTTTTATTACTATTTGAAATGTGAGCCTGAATACTTTGTGACATGAACTTCAGAGATCCTTTCAAAGTAAGAGAATTTGAATTCAACTTCATTTCAGAATTGTTACAATACTTTGCAAGTAATACAAAATTAATTCAGTAACGACTTTTTAAAGGTAACATACACAATATTTCAAAATGGATTTGTATACAAAATGTGATTTTGGTGTTGCGGTCCATTAAATTGGTAAGAGTGGTTTAGTCATAACAAATTTGACTATCACGTTGAACTTTACAAGATTAGCAATTGTAGTAATCTACCTCGTTACAAACTTTAAAAACTTCGTGGTTGTTCTTAATTTCAACAATATTATGATCAAGATTTCAATGAACAAAATAATAAAACGAGATGTTAATGGAAGGATGAAAGAGATGAGAAAAATCGAACTCAAATTCTATGAGTATGCCATTCAACAAAGTGTTAACTATCATCAAACATTTACTACCATAATAATAAGAATAATAATTTGTCCCCCCCCTCCCTTCAACATCAAATAATTATTTCTTATTGGAGATAAATATTTCGGACAAGGGATATTTATTATTTTTATGATTTAATTTTGAGTAAGAGTTTCTAGTAAATCAATAATCACAGTTCTATCAAAAGAGAAAATTACATCCATCATTGTTTCAAGCTTAATCAGTGGATAATATCCACTACATAGCAAGCACAGCAGTGGATGAACGAATCATACTTCCAACGGTATTCGCTAACCTGTTCATATCAATAGGAGAGAGGGACGAGAAGCTGAAAGCATTAGAAAGGAGTTAGTTAGAAGTGGGGCCACCAACCAACACCTGCCGCAAATACCAACTCACTCA